TCTCTCTCTCTCTCTCTCGTATATACCATAAGACAGTGTCGATGCGGGCTTTGGTGGTGTTGAGGGAGGCGTCGTAGAGGGCGTTAGTCAGCGCCACTCTAAACGGTTTGAGTTCGTTGTTTTTCTCGGCCACCTCTTTATAGAGCGGGAATATAACGGCAAACACGGCGTCGGCTCCGGGCTCCTGGGACTTGGCGCACGCCTCGCCAATCATGGCGGCGAACAAGGTCATTTGGTTGACAAACTGCACCGCGAACGAGCTACGGCCGTACGAGTCCAACAGTTGCGAAATTGAGGGCATCCCGGTAAATTGAACCCTGTGTGTTTTTGTGTTTGCGTGTAACAAAACGGGTTATTGCCGTGGGTGAGCATGGTAATGGGGCATGATTTAAAATGGGAATGTGGTAAATGCAAATATTAGCTTTAGCTCAATTTAAAGTCAATATCTAGCTAACTGTGTTGTTCATTATTTATATAACTGTGTATTGTGAATAATAACATAGATTATGTTGGTGACAATGACACATGTTTGGGTTTGTTCAAAGTGAGCTAGAGTTAGGTGTTTTACTTACACTCTGCACACACTATCTAATTCTTCCTTGGTGTTAAACATGGCGTGATTCTCGTCGCCAAACGGCTGTATTGGTCGCACATTTTTGTCAATTTCATCATCGTCAATGCCATTTACGGCGATTATGGCTAGATTGTTTAGATTGAAATGTGTAGATTATACTTGATACATTGTATAAGAGTAGTTAATTCTATTTCTACATTATTTAAACATTTCTAATTAACAATTTAAAGAATTAAGCGTAATAGTTTATAATTACATTGTATAATAATTTCGTAATAACAAGTAGATTATTAAAACTTTTTACCATATGTTTTTGTATTAAGACATATTGAATATATTTAATTGATATTTTGCGGACATTTTTAAATAAATCTTACAATTTATGATATATATTTAATAATTAAATCATTTATCAATAGTTGTGTATCATATCGGAATTAATTAATTACTACAAATTTATTTAATAATTATAAAAATCTAACTTAATAACGATACAGTTATCTAATTATCTATATTTATAATTATTAAGTAAATTATTAAATTAACTGTTGGGTATAAGCAGTTATAAGTTTATAATATTTAGTTTAGAATATAATCTATAAACTTTAGATTAATAATTAAAAATGAACGAAATGTATAATAAAATACATGTTTATAATTTACCTGTGCAAACAAATGCGATAACTTTTAAGGCAATCATTTGTGGCTATATTTAATAGAAAAAATAAAGTATAGATTAAAAATACTTAACTAGATAAAAATTACAAACTAGATTAACAAATAAATTATATAACAAAAATTATTTCTTACAAATGAAAAGCACAAACACTGATGGTAATGATTATCAATGAAAATGACGGATTTTAATATGTATACGGTATTACCAACAAAAATGCCCAGATGAAAAATTTTACAATATATGGAATTACACTGACGTACATTACAGTTTAAGTTGCTTTTAATTATATAAAACTTTAACAAAATTATAAGTTATATAAACTAAATCAAATTAAACTTAAATGTTTGTAATTGTTAAAATTAAAAATAAGTTTGTTATTTGATTTTTGCTTAGGTCTAATTTAACTAGATTTAATGTCGTGGTATTATCTGATATTTGTTGTTCGTGTAATTTAAAATAAAAGTTAATTTTAATGACACATATACTTGGAATGATTTGTTACTATTATAAGTAAAATTTTTCTAAAATTATTTTTAAAAATGCTTAAATAATTAAATGCTATTTCTAATTTGATCATATATTAATATAAGTTATTAATTGTATTCACCTATTTAGAAAATTTATATATTTTTTGTTTTATATAAAATAACAATAAATGTTAACTAATTTAAACAATTTATAAGAATAATTATTTAAACCACATAATGAGTAAAGATAATTTCATAGCATGTTATGTATGTTTTAATTTATTATTTATGCATATATAAAAATAGTACTTTTGTTTATTTAATATATTATTAATTTTGAGGTTAATAGATTAATTATAGGTAACATTAATAATAAATAAGTTACATATCAAAAATCCTTGTAATATACTCATTTAATATACAAAGTAAATTTACATATGGTTAAATAAAATGATTTTTTATTTACAAAAATATTTAGAGAAAACTATGCCAATAAATTACCCTGAAGAATATGGCACATATTAATCGCGATATTTACGTATGTTTAATTTGCATTCAAACAATTACTTTATACACTCATCATGTGAAAAATAGTAAGTACATTTTGATAATCATTTAACAATATAAATAACAAAAATATTAATTTTAATGATTAACCTGGACCACAACTATTAGACCTTGTTGGAATAACATCACATGGATTAACCACAGAGATAAGCAGGGCAGTCACACCAGGGTTTACAACACCCGAGGACAATTCAACGGACATTTATGGCAATTCGCTAGGTAAGATGATGACCATGTGAAACTTTAAATTAAATTAAATACACTTTAAACAATGTAGATTAAAATTTAAATATAATCCATAGTAAATACGGAGACAGAGGCAACCACCAATGTCACCGTGCTGAGGCCAAATAATTCAAATGTCGGGCTAAACGTGATCAAAACGCTCGGCAACTACCCTGTATTATATCAATTACTTCAGCTAGAGCGGTTAATATCGTCCCTGGTCACTTACCAGTCGGATAGCCGATGGCCGCCTGATGTGGACGAACCTGAACTATTGACCAAGATCAATGAAGCTCCGAATATGAATATGTTCCAGTTGATTTTGCGCCGTTTAGCACGCATTTTGCCCCTACGGGTAGTCATGAGTTATTTATTTGAAAATTATTTTACTGCCCCTTTAATGGACACGTGGTTTGCCTACATTTATCCGTACGCATCGCATTTGGATATAAGACTGTCCTTGTTAAAACAATTGCGCACCAGTTTGAGAATTACCTTAAAGCAAGAACAAGATGGTAAAAAACGCGCTAGGTTACAAGCGGTGCTAGATGATGTAGAAAATAAAATTGATAAATATGAATAATAATGGTGATATTTTCTAGTTGGTATCTTTTTTTGGAGTTAATAAGTTTGTTACTACTTGTTTTTGTTTTGTTTTATACTTGTTGCAATAATTAATTACAATAATTTGCAATAATTATTTTTATGTATTATTTAATAAATGTTTATTTTGTAAAAAATGTATTTCGTTGTATTTAATGTCTGATTTATACTAAAATTTTTCTATAATTGATTGGCCTCACTCTAAAATAACCATAAAATTTTTGTAAAACTTAGTTTTGTCTAAACTAGATAAAGTACGATGGGGGAATCCGCCTACGCTGGCAACCGGGATTTGACAATATAAAATGAAAGCACAGTCCATAAGGAGTCCATTGATATAATCCATATGACCGACCGACCTCTGGTTCGGCCGTAGTGACCACTTTTATCGGGAATTTTAAACTTATTAAAAATTAATATATGATATATGAAATCAATGTAGAATTTAACGTAGAATCAGAATATATTATTATTATTTGCACGGAACATACAGTTTTTGAAATATCTTTAAATTAAAAAATTATAATTTTAATTTTTGTTATTTTGACGTTATTTATTGAAAATTTTTTAAAAATAATACTTTATTATTGACTTAGTGCTAAAATAGATAAAAAATATAAATTAAAATGAATAATTATTTTTTAGTTGAAATTCAGTTTTTTGTAATAATGAAGCGATCGCTATCGAAAATTGATTTGGTCCATTCGGAGTCTGCCACCAGGGCTCCGATGGTTCCTCAACCTGCTACTGGTGAGGGGGATCATCCCCTGCCCGATCCGAGGGCCGAGAGTGACGCCGATGACCCCGGCGCTGAGGGTGAATTTTCACACTACTAACTAGTTGACTTACTAACACTACTAACACTACTAACATTACTAACACTACTAACTAGTTGACTTACTAACACTACTAACACTACTAACATTACTAACACTACTAACTATTTGACTTACTATTTACCGAAAATAATGACCTTTTTTGCCGAATTCGAGGCCGGGTTGTAGTCCCAACTTTTATCATTTGAATTTTAATTCAACATATTTTAGTATCATTAAGAAAATTGCATTAAATTAACTTTGGACAAAACATCGCCCACGATGCCATCAAAGTAACTTTTTTCTCGAGGGTTAAACAAAAATTATTTTTTTAGGCAAATTAACATAGACTCTATCACATTCTCCTTTAATATTCAAATAGATAATTGTTTATAATAGAATGATTGTAATACATAAATTACAAACATATATAAATGAATAATACAATACGGTAAGGTTAATAATGATAATAATAATTTATTTTTGCTAACTGTAATAAAAAAAAACTTTATACTAATTTGATTTAACAAATTTATTAAAATAGCTAATTAAACGGAGTAAGACACAAGTTCGTGGTTATTTGCATTTATAATGTTATAATAAAGATAATTTATAAATATTTTTGCCAATAATGAATAAATTAATAGGCGTATTTTAAAAGTGCAACGACATACTTAAAAATGGCAACATTTAGTATATATGTTTACATTTATTTTATTTTTATTTATATAACCTTAAATACACATTACGTTAAGAATAGTAAGTATTCAAATAAAATTGAATTACTATAAAAATTTATTTATTTTAATAAACAAAAAAATAGATCCGATAAATAATGATACAACAACTGAACCTGATCAAAATATCACCAGTACTACCACAACCACCACAACTGAGCTTGATCAAAATGTAACTAGTTCTACAACAACTACTACAACTGAGCCAGACACAACCGAGACAACAGAAAGTACCTTGCCAATAGTTTACCCAAACTCGGAAATGTCCATAATAAACCGCTTAAACGAATATCCAATCATACATCAACTAATCCAGCTAGAGCGTTTAATATTGTCTCTGGCTACATACCATCAAGACCTACAATGGCCAATAAATATACAGGGTGATGACGAGCGTAAACTGATTAATAAAATTAACAAGGCTGACGGCATGAACACGATCCAAATGTATTTACGCCGTATGGCCCGAGTATTACCCCTGCGAGGAGTCCTGTCGTGGGTGTTTGAAAATAAATACACGGTTGACCTGACGGACAAGTGGCTATCCTACGTGTACCCGTACTCGTATTATTTAGATGCAAGACTGTCCTTGCTCAAACAGTTGCGAACCAGTTTAAGGATTGAGATGAAATTTAAAAAAGATGATAGACTTAAACTGTTGCGCTTGCAAAAAGTGCTAGATGAGGTGGAGTGTGAGATTGATAAGTATGAATAAGTGATCGTGTTGTAATTTGTTTGTAAAAGTAAATGTGGTTTTTTAAATTAGTAAAATAGTGTTATAAATATTTATGTTATTGTGTATTAATAATATTAATTTCTCATAGGACTAATTACCCCAAATTTAATACATTATTTTTTTAAAGTTATTAAATCTAAATTAACTTTAGTTAAAGTTTACAGTTATAACAAATATAAGATTATAATTAATTTATTCATATTAGATCACTTATTTTGTTATAATTCAATTTTTTTTACAAACAATTGTGTCAATTGTGTCAAAACAATTCATTAATATAAAAATATAATTATAGAATATACATCTATTTATAATAAATAAGATTATAAAACTTTCAAATAATTCATAATAATATTAAAATTTTTAAATATTATTTTCAATAATGTTGTATAGCATGGTATACATAAATATTTTTATTTTACATGTACCTGTAATTATATGTTTTATAAAATATAATTTTTATGTTGATGGTATTGTGTCATATATTGTATTACATATATAAGCCGGGTTATTTTTATTGTGTTGCTATTATTTTTAATTTTATTTGCATTCAAAATCTAATTACTCATTATTGAGTTTAATCGTATTAAATTCTCATTTGATATTGGTAGTTAATTTTTTAAATCCAAGTACTTTTTTTTGGCTACGCCTTAGTCAGCTATCCTATTTGCATATAAAGTTTATGTTTATTTACCTGATTATTATATTTTATAAATGCAATATAAATATTCAATTACGTTTGCGTAAAGGTTAAGGGTAAAATAATCTAATAATCTAAACAATAAACATAAATAAGTTTTTATTGGCAGATCCGTAAGTTATATTTTTATCTCAAAAATATTAAATAATTTTGTATAATAAATGAACATTATTATAATTATTATAAGCATAATAATATTAATTACATGTTTAGATTTTACACGAACAATTTATAAAACAATTATAATTTGTAAACTATTATAACTTATTTAAAAAATTGCATTCTATATGCGATTTATTACATTTTGAAATAATATTTTATTAACTTTTTAAATCTTATCTGCTACAATAAAATGTTATAATATAAATAGTACTCATCAGGAAATGAAATATTATATTGGGTTTAATTATCAAAACTATAGTTTTATTTTTTAACTTGCACAATGCCAAAATAAAATTGAAAGAAGTGCATCCATATATTTTAAAATTAAAAATCAGAATTATTATTATAATGAAAATACATAAGCTTTACAGTTTTCATTATTTGTTAATTATTATTTTAAAATTGTTAAAATTTTATAAACTCTACAATATATTTTTTCTTGAATGTATAACTTTTATTAATACTAACTCGGTATTTTTAAATAAACGTATAAATTACACAAGAAGTACAACTATGTTTATATTAATTAATAATTTAATATTATTAAAATTTGCTCTTATAAACTATCAAACTTTGCTAGTTAAATTAAATATGATTATAAAAATAATTATCATGTTCAAAACGGCAAAAAATAAGTTTTTTATTAAATTTTTTTAATGATAATTACTAATTAATAACTGAGACATAAATTGGACCAATGTGAATCTTGCCACGTTTCATGTACAAAGCATGTGAGCAAACAGTGATTTAATTATTAAATAAGATAATTTAAAGATGAAAAATTTGCACTAAATTATTAAGTATTGTGAAACAAAAAATTGATTTGTTATTAATTATACTGTTAATGTTATCTTAATAAAATTTTTATCATTAATTACCCACGATTGTTTTGAATTACAGTTATAGATTAAGCTCGATAATTAGGGAGTTATGGTGCAACTTTGTACAACTTTTTGGTAGCATAACCAAGTATCTATTAAATATTAAAATTAAATGTTTTAGTTAGAATTAAAAATATTTAATATAATAATTAAATTATATTCATCTCTAACTGTTTGCAAACATAAACAATATATAAACAATTTATTAATATTTATTAATTAAAAGCATTTTTATAAAAGATAATTTATAATGAAACTTATGAGTAATAAATTTAATATTTAAGCACATTTAATATTTGATTAATTTACATAGATGAGTAATATTTATCATGTATTTTTTACAGATGCTAGAAATAATAATCACTAATAATTTATTATAAACAACTTGTTCAAAATTATTTCTTAGAAATACGTAATGTTTTATCTATTTGGTAAACAACAATACTTTGTAATAGATGTAGATCTAATTATTTACATTATTATATTGTATTTATAAATACAATGAACAAATATAGTAACATCCCGGTAAAACAATAATTGCTTGTAATCATTGCACACCAAATAAACCATTATATTAATAGATAATAAATCACAGATGGTTGAACTGGTCTCATTTACGTTAGCAACAAGTTAATATTTATGCTAGTACAGTCATTTATAGATATTACCAGGATATAAGTCACTGGAAAAAAAATAACAGCGCAAGTTGTTTTCCATAAAAATGCGACTAGATAACAAAAATAACATAAATCAATGTAAAACAACAAATGTTTCTGGGTATATAAAGGCTAACAAAAATCATGCTAAAATCACCAGTTTTTGTTGAAATAGTAACTTAATACTAATTTCAAATATAAACTAGCAACTTAATATCACAATGAAGGTAATACTGTTCTTTTGTGCCACAATTAGCCTGGCGTTGGCCAACGAGTTTAGGCTGGTTAACAATTGCCCCTTTACCGTATGGCCCGGTATATTGGGTAACCCGGGTAAGGGCAACCCCGAGGGCGGTGGGTTCCAACTGAACAGCCATCAGACACACTCGTATCAAGTGGGCAATGGATGGGCCGGTAGAGTGTGGCCCCGAACCAACTGCAACGGCGCCGGCCATTGCGAGACTGGCGATTGTGGTAATTATTCAGTTTTTATTTAACTAACATTTAACAAAAATTAATTCGTTTGTAAATTACATCCATATATTTTTAAAATACTATTAAATCTATTGTCGTGTATAAGATTTATTGAGCTAATGTTTGGATGCCAGAATTCAATATAACTTAATAAAACAACTATTTTTAATAAACAAATATGAATATAATTACAGTTTTTACAATTTATTAACAGTAGTATAATTTACATACTTAATGATATGAATTATTTATTTATAGTATTAATATATTAATTAACATAATTAACTAAGTTATTTTCATAATTAACTCCTACCTTAAGGCAACAAGATCCAATGCAACGGCGCCGGTGGGGTACCCCCCGTCTCACTGGCCGAGTTCACGCTAAACGGCGCGGGTGGCCAAGACTTTTACGACGTGAGCTTGGTCGACGGGTACAATCTACCAATCAGGATACGACCCATAGCGGGCACATACCGTAAGTCGGGTGGCGGACACTACGACTGCGGCGACGCCGGTTGTACGTCAGACCTGAACGCCCGGTGCCCGGCAGAGTTGGCCGTACGCAACGGTGCCGGCGCTACCATCGCCTGTATGAGCGCCTGCATGAAGTTCAACACCGACGAGTACTGTTGCAGAGGTGCCCACAGCACCCCCCAGACGTGCAAGAGCAAAGACTGGCCCCATAATTACCCGGCTGTTTTCAAGGGTGCCTGCCCCGATGCCTATAGTTACGCCTATGATGATACATCGAGCACTTTCACCTGCCATGGTAACCCTCAAACTGGCTATGAGATTACCTTCTGCCCGTAATTTTTTTAGCATGGTTGATGTGGGTTTAAACCAGTTTGTTATCTGGTTAATTTTAATACCAAAATTGTTTTATTGTTGTATCTAAAATTTAATGCCCATATTAATATATTAAATAAATCTGTTTAATTGTATTAATTATATTGTACTGTTATTTACATGGGTGCTTCTTAATGTGGTTGGTGTAATTTATATACTTGACTTTTATGTGAAGTAATATGACCATTACAGTGCGAAATGTTGGTAAATCATATCTGGGATTTATGCTAGTACAAAATATATCTACTTAGGGTAATAAGTATTGCAGTATCTTGTTTAATTGCAGCAGTTAAATAGCAGCACATGCTTTAATATGCTAGTTTACAATTAATAGTGAATATTAGGTTAATTATTACACAATAACTTAATCAGAAATAGTATTTCTATGTTTGAAATTTGTAAAAATATTGTTATTATTAAATTGTTAATCTAATATGAAATAGCAATATTAATTTTGTTCAATTTCATATTAATACAATAATTAATAATTATTAATTATTATATTGCATTTATTTTAAACCTTATTGATTCCAGTTAATCAATAAATAAATTGTTATTTTGTGAATTTCAAATAATGCAATACCAACACATGCTTTATTATTAATTGATCCTGGGAAATGTAGTACGTGATCATGATTATAATGTTTGCATAGTACAATAAACGCTAACTAATAATATATTATTCTCAAAAAAGTATTAAATATACCTGGCCCATTTAATGCGTTAAGTCATTTAAAATAATTTTTATCATTATATTTGCGAAATTGAAATTATGATCTTGATTAGTATCAACATGGTACTTTAAGTTTACATGTACTGAATTGTGTGTTTTATTTAATTTATTTTATAAACTATACTGTACTATCAATAAATGTACCAAACCTATCCTTTTCATTACTACTACTTGTAATTTTGGAGTTACCATCTTACTTTATTCTGAATAAAATTATTAATTATTTTAATATAAGGATTTAAAATATAAATTGTATGATTGTATTAGTAGATATCAGTATTTATTCAGTAGATATAAATGTTGCCATAAGTTTGAATTGTAAATATGATTTTTAACACTAATTATTAAGTTTAAAAATTGATCGACTCAAATTGCTTTCCATTATAATGTAAATGATAATCTAATTAATGTACATAGTCTCTTTTATTAATCGACCTTACAGTTTACAATACTAAAAATTTAATAACAAATAAAAAATGTGTTAATTTTGTAACTCATGTTGGTAACGCTATTTTAAATAAAACTCATAACCAAATGACAGATGTTATTGAAAACAAATAACATTCACATTAAAAAAGCAATAGATACTTGAAAAAACAATTTTCTTATCACCATGATAAAAAGACCAGTGAGTACTTGAACACAAAATTTCCATATAAATACTCACCACAAAAACAAAAAAAACTAACCAAACCCATAAAAAACACTACAAAACAACCATGAGGCTAATAATAAGCCTATCAGTACTGACCACGGTAGCTTTAGCCGCCGAGTTTCAGTTTAAAAACAACTGCCCCTACACCGTATGGGCCAAAACGTTGGGCAATCCGGGCAAGGGCAATCCGGAAAACGGCGGTTTCACCATGGCGGGCAACAGCCAGCACACATTCAACACCAACCCGGGGTGGGCCGGGCGGATGTGGGGCAACACCGGGTGTCAACCAGACGGGCACCATTGCAAATCGGGTGACGGGGCGACGCCCACCACACTCGGCGAATGGACCATGTCGGACAAGGACGGGGGCATGGACTTTTACGACGTAAGCCTGGTCGACGGCTACAACGTGGGCATGCGCGTCGAGCCACTAGCAGGTACATTTACCAAACAGGGCCCCGGGCATTACGATTGCGGCACAGCCGGGTGCGTACAGGATATGCTGGACCACTGTCCGGCCGAGTTGGCCGTTAAGGATGGCGTAAATACAGTGGCCTGTCTCAGCGCGTGCGCCAAGTTTAAGACAGATGAGTACTGTTGCGGTGGCGCCCACTCCACCCCCGAGACGTGTAAGTCCAAGGACTGGCCCGTCAACTATCCGGCCATTTTCAAAAAGTACTGCCCCGAAGCGTATAGCTATGCCTACGATGATGCGGCTAGCACGTTTACCTGCCATGGTAAACCGTATGCCGGCTACGTGGTCACTTTCTGCCCGCAGTAGTAAGTCCTTTGTTTGTTCATTAGCTCGTTGGTTTTTTTTAAATAATGGTGCTGTTTGTTTGTGATAAATCAGCTTGTTTGATTAATGTAATTGTTGTTTAGAAAAACCAATGGAAAATTGCTAAAATGATAAATTATTATTTTTAAAAAGAATAAATGTAAAAAATAAACATTTATTATGTATTTTGTTTTGTAGTTTTATTCCATTTACTTTTTTGCGTTTAAAATAATTAATTATAAATTACAATTAATTTTATATCATCATAAACGCTGTATGGTAAAGGTTTATAACTTATGCCACCTTTTGAATGTAATAAGTAAATATATTGAGTAATATATTTATATGAAAATACTTGTTAATAATTGATTTAGGTTATTATGTGTGACCACGAGATGGATATTTGTAAATCAGATTTTGCTTATGGCTACCATGACTAGTGTTCATTTAACGCTGCACTCATAGCTAGTAAACTTATATTGACTGTAAAATAAAATAAAAATAAATTATATTAATAAAACTAAACACAAATATTTACATTATTGGTATCAATATCACAACTTTCGCTATAGTACTAAACGTAAATTTTACTATCGCTCTTGCTTTTAATTAAATCAGCATTATTATCAAAATGTTATGACATGTAAGCATAATTAATTTTTATGTGAAATAGTCTATAAAATTATGCAAACATTTTATTTATTAAATATATTAATAATATAATTTTAATTAAAACTAAATAATATATAATTATAAATTGCACATAAAAGAGTATAAATGACGTATAATTAAAGTGAGCTTAATGCAATGGCTTAATTTACTTTAGCCATTCAGGTGTTATAATATTATTACCATCTTAAAACTAAACCATTAATTGTTTAAATAAGGTATATCAATCAATTTAAATAACAACTCTTGAATGTTTAAGCATTATGTTGATTTTATTTATTTGTAATACACAGCTATACTTAATAATGGCGCTATACCAAAACATAATTACCCTGTTGATAATAGCTGTCACATGCAATCGTGCACAGGAAAGTACGGTGGATACAACTGAAACCACATTAGTTACCACAACTCAAACATCTATTACAACAAATTCATTAAATTCAACAAAGTTGTCAACAACTAGTTAGTAAATATTTTATAATAAATTAAATAAACATGCTAGATATTATTACGATTAATTAAAACTACAATACAATTTAAGAATTGCAGTAAGTCACTTGATTTTAAGAAGGTAGTTACAATATTGTTTTTAACAGTTATTGAAAACACAACAACTAAAACTGGTCTATTTGTGATACCATATTTAATTGTACCTTAATCTAATTAATAGTGTAATTTTACATACTAATTAAGTCTACAGTTTACAATACTAGGTCAATTTTATTTATAATACATATTTATTTGCAATAACAAAATTGAATCATGGTAAACTACTATTAAATGAAAATGACATAATAATAAAATTTTTGCACAAAAATTAATTAATTAATTAATATAATTTTAATCCGGTTTAAGTAGAGGCCAAAATAAAATAAGCAATATATTAATTCATTATACAAATAAATATTATATATTAGCATACAGTTTATATATTATAATTTGTTATTAATAATAATAATTACCATAAATTAAACAAATAAAAATAAAATACTTAAATTAACCCCGAGCAGACCTAATTGAATTAATAAACTAAAAAGACAGCATGGTTAAAAATTAAATAAAAGTTACACGAAAATCGTTCCCATTGGCAACGACTAAAGGGTCCGGGTCCTGTGCCCGGACGTCACGGGCCCACTCAATTAACCACAAATAGTGGCTTGTGATGTCCGGCAACATTAAATTAACCACATAAAGTTAGCCAGTGGTTCAAGCACATTCAATAACTACATATAGTGGGCCCGGACATGCCGGGCCCACTTAATAACCACAAATAGTAACTTGTGATGTCCGCGCACACTCAACTGACCACATAGTAACTTATGATGTCTAGGCCTACTTAATTGACCACAAATAACAAGCTCGTAATGTTTTAGCCCACTTAATTTATCACATACATCATTTTTTGAGGTGGGCCCGTGACGTCCGGGCCCGGGCCCAGGACCCGGACCCTTTAGTCGTTGCCGTTCCCATTATAAAATTAACTTGATATTATGTATACATTTAAGATACAGTTTGTAAATGTAAAATATTGAGACCATGGTTAAATAAAGCCAACTTTATATAACCAACTAAAAATATATCATTTAATTCACCAAGGGCACAATGTGAACGCCGATCTGGTAGACGACATGGTAAACGTGACATTCCGGTGGGCGGAGACCGAGTTCCCGGTCACTGTCCGTATACTGAAAGCGGCCCAAAACATGACGGTCACAGATATAGAGGCCATACCGGGCGCAGGGCCATTTTTGAAAATATTGGTCGAGGTGTTTCGGATACATCAGGCCCGTCAGGCCTATCGCCGGGCCCACAACGGCTCGGACTGGATCACAACCAACCAATCGGTGTTCGTCACAGTGAACAAGCTCAATTTCACGGGAGCTGAAATACCCGTATACTATTTTAACATTACCGATGTGTTTGGCAACAATTCGACCGGGGTCAAAACGATTGCCGAAATGGCCAAGATCTGTCACGAACGGGAAGTGCCCTTTGTCGAGGCGGTGGCCGTATTTACCCGCGACGTGTCCGATGATTTATTTACCAGCATGCTGGAAGTGTCGAGCAATATAAAAATGTCTGACCTGGTTGAAAAGGGGGCACTTAAAATGGTGGAACATGTGGGTAAAAATTTTACCGGGGCTCTATTGCCCCGGCTGGTGCACTCAATGAATGTCACCGGGATAAAATTCATAAATACTACGTTTAACAAGATCAACACGGTCACTCGGCTGGAGCTAGAGTTGGCCAATAATATGACCCACAATATTACACATTTGGTTTTGAACGGCATCGAAGCGCTGACTAATGAATCTAGACGCTTTGCCCGGAACAGTATCACCAGGGTGGCCAATATCAGTAATCGCACCTATCATATGTTTAATAATCAGGTGCGCGACCTGAGCGATAATCTTCAGGCCATGTCAGCCAATCTGTCACAATCGCCCGGCAAATTGGTCTCGATCATTTCGGACCGGGCTACCACGTTGACCAACTCGGCCTGGTATAGGGTGGCCAACTGGACCGAGATTGTTACCAATCTGACGTGGAACTACTGGAATGATTTTAAGAATACGGCTGAGTTTACTACAAATGTGACGGTAGATACTCTACGGGGCATAAAGGATGTAGGTGTACAGGGTGTGCGAAATATGACCGAGGTGGCACTCAATGACCTAGCGCCGTTTAGGTTTAAAAAGTTTGAAAATTTGCTGACAAATACGAGCCAAACGTGGTTGAATACGTTAACACTGGATATACCATTTTATCCCGGTACCAAAAATTTAACCGAGGTTATTAATTCTGTATTGAATCTGTTTGATTTTAAGTCGCTAGGCATTAGTAACGTTGTGCAATTTTTCAAAAATGCTACCACCGATTATATTGGCTAGTTGTTTAAGGTTTTATTCAGTTATCATATAAGCTATTTTTAAAATATTTAATTATTTTTTCATTTTACTTTTGTCATATTATTTTTAATAAACTTTATACATTGTATATCATTTCATTTTAATAAATTAAAGTTATAAAATAAAATTTGATAGTTAAAACAAATGTAAACACTTTTATTAACTTATAATAAATAACATTACTGTTAAATAAAATGTTTATTAAAATACAATAAGTACATATTTAGAAGAATGACTAATCTGTTCGCGGCACAGTGCCTCCCTAGAAAGTGCCGCGCTAGGCATTTTCTCCTAATTTGTAAATATTTAAATTTTTAAATATACACATTTATTTGATTTTGTAATGATACATTTATATTTTCAATAAAAATTGTAAAATAAAAATATTTAAAATTTTTTATTAAATTAAAAATTTAGATTAAAATTTTTTTAATACAAATATAAATGTATTTTTATAAAATAAAATAAATATGTATATTTAATAAATTAAATATTTTCAAATTAGTGGAAAATGCCTAGCGCGGCACTTTCTAGGAAGGCACTGTGCCGCGATCAGATTAGTCATTTTCCATATTTAGCAATTAGCTCATTTATTTATTAGTTCCATTTAAAATAAATACAATATAAACAAATTAATTCCATGACAAATTTAACAGTTTGGCCATAAAAAGCCCAGGGTACCACGTTTTGCCAACATTTCTTTCAGCACCGGTACCTTAACAGACAGTGCCATAGCAATCTCGTTCAATTTTACCGCATCAAGCACGTTTACGTTAAGCGTACTGCACATCACATCCTGGAGGGTATTTTGTTTTGGGGCTGTAGTAGTGGACACCAGTGATGGCCCCTTTACTGGGGCCACATATCCGCCATTATTTGGCGCTGACTCAATACCGGTCGGTTCGGCTGGTGGTGGGTTTTCTGTAAAATAAGGTCATGGTACATTTTATATTAAACATGATTAAAACAACGGTGTTGTATGTCAACATTATTTATACTTCGCGTACTTCCACATGGTATTTTTTTTAAAAAATTACCTAGTGCAAGTTATACTCACTAATTTGTTCCTCGACATATTTGCTGTTGACTACTAATAAATGGCCAAAAATTAGACACAAGCAAAATATATAAATACTTTGATTATTGTTGAACGCCATTTTATTTAACATTTAATTTAATTACAACTGACTGCAAACAAAAATTAATTACTTTAACAATAATGTAAGAAGCTATATAAATAATTACATAGTGGTTACAACGACTCCTCCTACAATTGTCAAAATTTTATTTCATCAAAATTACCTAGTAAAACAATTAATATATTATAATTAATTAATTAAGTGCCCTGTTCCTTATAACGTGAGTGGAGTGTAGCGGCCGACACTTGTTATGTTGTAATACATACACAGACATCGTTATGTGCACAACAATATGGGTATTAATTATTGCACACTACTATTCGTATGCTGTTTATCATCGATCTTGATCGGTATTGATGGGGGCAAACAAAATGCCACCACCACCGCCAAAATCACCACAACCCGTGCCAATACAGTTAGCGCAAAGCTCACCACTAAGACGAGTAGAGTTGCCAGCAGTACAGAGGCCGCCACTGAGAACACAGGAAGCACCGCAAGTGCCGCCGCAGCCACTGGCAATCCTACCGCCACTACCAGTGTTATCGCAACTACTCTTGATATTGAGGCCATTATTGCTGATATGAGGCCCAAGAAAAAGAAACGTCGAGGAGACCTAATTGGCAGCGCATCTGGCCACACTACTATCACGGCCGCGGCCACTGCCTATCCTACCACCACTACCAGCGCGTCTGTTATCGTAACTACTCTTGATATCGAGGCCATTATCGCTGACATGAGACCTAAGAAAAAGAAACGCCGAGGAGACCTGATTGGCAGCACATCTGGCCACACTACTACTACCGCCGCCGTCGCTGGCAATCCTACCACCACTGCGTCTATCATCGCAACTACTCTTGATATTGAGGCCATCATCGCTGACATGAGGCCTAAGAAAAAGAAACGCCGGAAAGACTTGTTTGGCGGCGCATCTGGTCACACTACTACTACTACCACCGCTGGCGTTACCGATGATAAAATACTTAAAGCAGCTGTTGATAATAGTGGCGGCGCTACCACAACAGCGCCCACAACCGGGGGTAATGTATATATGACTACATACTAAAAAAAAATACATCTTGATAAACAAAACAAATAAACAAATTGTTTACCCTGATTCAGGTGGCAGCACAGAGAGTAGCCCCACGTCAACCACCACTGACGCGCCCCCGGAGTACAATAGGGTGACCAGAAGGACTAAGAATACGCTGGCGCAGGACAAGAATGACATGTTTGGACCGCCCAAACTGTTTGGCCCGAGGCCTGGGGCGTGGAAACGCAAAAAGTCGTCCACCACTACCACACCGGGGGCGACACCGGTGGGCACCAGTGCTGGCGATAGCGGCCTAACCACTACTACTACTGCTGACACTAATGCCGAGACTACCGGCGCAGACAACGGTAGCGTTAGTGTCAGTACGCCAGCGACGCCCGATGTGCCTGATGTGCCCAATGGGCCCAATTACGGCACCAGTACTGCGGCACCGGGCGGTACAACCACTGAAAACCCCGGCAAACAGCCCACAGATGAGACAACGACTACTAGTGCCGGTGCCGATGATGGCCAGACTGATGGTACCGGTGCTACGGCAGCGCCAGCCGATATGCTCAACACGATCGGCGAGAATGTGGTCGGCGCTGATGATTACGCCACCAGTACTCCGACACCGGGCGGCACAACCACTAATAAACTGCGAAAAGCTAGTAAACCAACCGATGGGACACAGACTACCGGCGCTGATGATGGCCAGACTGGCGGTACCGGTGTTACGGCAGCGCCAGCGGATGTGCTCAACACTATCGGCGAGAATGTGGTCGGTGCCGATGATTACGCCACCAGTACTCCGGCACCGGGTGGTGGTACCACGGAAGTAGACCCGGCCGAACAGCCAGTTGAGTTGGACACCACCGGTGCTACAGTGGCGCCGCCGGATGTACTCAATACGATTGGCGAGAATGTTGTCGGCGCTGACGATTACGCTACGAGTACACCGACTCCGGGCGGTGGCGGAGCAAAAGCCACTACGAGTGCCGGTGTCGGTGATGATGGTTACTCTACCAGTAAGGCGGCACCGGGCGGTTCCATCCGGACTAAAAAACCAAAACATGGTGGTAGACAAACTACAGAAGCACCTGTAGATGAGGCTCAAACCGCCGGTGCCGGTAGTGATGGAAACACAGCGACTACAACTGCGGGCGCAGATGATGGTCAAACTAGCAGTACTGCGGCACCGGGCGGTGGCGCACCTGAAGCTACTACAAGTGCCAGTGTCGAAGATAATGGTCAATCTTCCAGTACGAGTACCAGTGCCGGA